TTTTTTTAATTTTCAATTTTCCAATTTTTTTTTTTAAAACTTTTTTAAATCCTTGAGTTTTCGATTTTTCGTTATTCGAATTTTAAATCTTTTTACTTTCCGATTTCCCGATTTTTTTAGTCTCAATTTTTCAGTTTTTCGATTTTTCGACTTTCCCGAAGATTTTTCTATTTTTCGAATTTTCGGCAAGCCAGTTTTTCGAATTTTAGGTTTTTCAATTCTTTTTGACTTTCGTATTTTCGTATTTTTCATTTTCGAATTTTAGATTTTTTAATTCTTTTTGACTTACGAATTTTTGTGTTTTGGATTTTCGAAATTCGGTTATTGGATTTTTCATTTACTGATTTTGATTTTCGAATAATCAGCCAATTTTCCTACTTTTCCATTTTTCCAATTTTTTAATTTTCGATTTGTTTTGTTTTATCTTTTTTGAATCCTCGCGTTCTCGAATTTTCAATATCTGTATTTTTCGATTTCTCAATTTTTAAATTTTTCGATTTTTCGACTTTCAGGAAGATTTTTATATTTTTTCGAATTTTCGGTAATCCAGTTTTTCGAGTTTCAGATTTTTCAATTTTTTTTTTATTTTCGATTTTTTGTATCTTTGAGTTTCGAATATTCTTTTTATTTTTCAACTTTCCGGAACGTTTTTGAGTTTGTCGGTATTCCAGTTTTTCAAATTTAAAATGTTCCCATTTTTTTCATTTTCGTTTTTTCCGTTTTTCGGCGTTCCGGAAGATGTTTCTATTTTTCGAGTTTTCGAAATTTCTTTTTTCGATATTCCAATTTTTCAGATTTTGTTTCTTTGTTTCCTTTTTCAATTTTTCCATTTCCAGTTTTTAGATTTTTCAATTTTTTTTCTTATCGATTTTTCCATTATTTAATTGTCTATTTTTCCGTTTTTTTAATTTTCAATTTTCCAATTTTTTTTTCAACTTTTTTATATCCTTGAGTTTTCAAGTTTTCGTTATTCGAATTATTTTAAATCTTTTTACTTTCCTATTTCCAGATTTTTCAATTTTCGACTTTCGTTTTTCGATCTTTCGTATTTTTGAGTTTCGATTTTTCAGTTCTTCGATTTTTCGACTTTCCCGATGATTTTTCTATTTTTTCGAATTTTCGGTAAACCAGTTTTTCGAATTTTAGATTTTTCATTTCTTTTCGACAGTCGATTTTTCGTATTTTTGGTTTTCGAAATTCGCTTAATCGGTTTTTCATTTACTTTCTCGCTTTTACAATTTTTCGATTTTTCGACTTTCCGGGAGATGTTTTATTATTTCGATTTTTCAGTTTTTCGATAGTTCGAATTTTCGATATTCCAATTTTTCGAATTTTAGATTTTTCCACTTTTTATTTTCTATTTTTCAATTTTTCCATTTTCAATTTTTTTATGAATTTTCAATTTTGGTAAACCAGTTTTTCGAATTATAGGTTGTTAATTTTTTCGACTTTCAAATTTTTATATTTTGGATTTTCGCAATTCGGTTAATGGATTTTTCATTTACTGATTTTGATTTTCGAATAATCAGCCGATTTGTCGATTTCTCGCTTTTGAAATTTGTCGATTTTTCGATTTTCCGGGAGATGTTTTTATTTTTTCGATTTTTCGAATTTTCTTTTTTTTGATATTCCAGTTTTTCGAATTTTAGATTTTTACACTTTCTATTTTCGATTTTTCAATTTTTCCGTTTTCAGTTTTTAGATTTTTTAATTTTCCTACTTTTCCATTTTTCCAATTTTTTGATTTTCGATTTGTTTTTGTTTTATCTTTTTTTATCCTCGAGTTCTCGAATTTTCAATATCTGTATTTTTCGCTTTCTCAATTTATAAATTTTTCGATTTTTCGACTTTCAGGAAGATTTTTATATTTTTTCGAATTTTTGGTAATCCAGTTTTTCGAGTTTCAGATTTTTTAATTATATTCAGTCTTTTTATTTTACAACTCTCCGGTAGCTTTTTGAATTTTTCGATATTCCAGTTTTTCAAATTTAAAATGTTTTCCATTTTTTCCGTTTTTTTCGTTTTTCGACTTTCTGGAAGATTTTTCGAATGTTCGAAATTTCTTTTTTCGATATTCCAATTTTTCAGATTTTGTTTTTTCGCTCCTCTTTATTTCCTTTTTTCAATTTTTCCCATTTTCAGTTTTTAGAATTTTCAATTTTCTTATCGATTATTTAATTTTTTAATTTTCAATTTTCCAATTTTTTTTTACTTTTTTGAATCCTTGAGTTTTCGCTTTTTCGATATTCGAATTTCCAAACTTTTTATTTTCCGATTTTTCGATTTTCAACTTTCGATTTTCGATTTTTCGTAGTTTTGAGTTTCGAGTTTTCTATTTTACAATTTTTCGATTTTTCGACTTTCTCGAAGATTTTTCTATTTTTTGGAATCGGGTAATCCAGTTTTTCGAATTTTAGATTTTTCAATTCTTTTTGACTCTCGACTTCTCGAATTTTTGATTTTCGAAATTTGGTTATTGGTTTTTTCTTTTGCTGATTTTGATTTTCGAATATCAGGCTTTTTATTTTTTCCTAAATTTCGAATTTTTGATTTTTTGAATTTCCAATTTTTCGAATTTTAGATTTTTCCACTTTTTATTTTCTATTTGTCAACTTTTCTTTTTCCAGTTCTGAGAATTTTCAATTTTCTTACTCGTCGATTTTTCCATTTTTTAAAATGTTCGATTTTTTTCCTTTTAATTTTTTTGAATCTTCGAGTTTCCGATTTTTCGATATTCGAATCTTCAATATCTTTGCTTTTCGATTTTTCGACTTTCCGGAAGATTTTACTATTTTCCGCATTTTCGGTAATTTTCTGGATTTTACAAATTTTCGTGTCTCCGGAAGAATTTTTATTTTTTCGATTATTTTTCGATTTTTCGACTTTCCGGAAAATGTTTTATTATTTTGATTTTTCCGCTTTTCAATAGTTCAAATTTTCCATATTCCAATTTTTCGAATTTTAGATTTTTCCACTTTTTATTTTCTATTTTTCAATTTTTCCATTTTCACTTTTTAGAATTTTCAATTTTCAGTTTTTCCTTTTAATTTTTTTCAATCCTCGAGTTTTCGAATTTTTGGTAATCCAGTTTTTCGAGTTTCAGATTTTTCAGTTTTTCGAATATTCAGTCATTTTATTTTTCAACTTTCCGGAAAGTTTTTGAGTTTTTCGCTATTCCAATTTTTCAAATTTAAAATGTTTCCATTTTTTTTCATTTTCATTTTTCCGTTTTTCGACTTTCCGGAAGATGTTTTTATTTTTCGAGTTTTCGAAATTTCTTTTTTCGATATTCCAATTTTTCAGATTTCATTTTTTTGCTCTTCTTTATTTCTGTTTCTCAATTTTTCCATTACCAGTTTTTAGACTTTTTTTCCAATTTTTTTCGTTCAACTTTTTTAAATCCTTGAGTTTTCGATTTTTCGTTATTCGAATTTTAAAACTTTTTACTTTCCGATTTCCCGATTTTTCGTATTTTTGAGTTTCGATTTTTGAATCTTTTGATTTTCCCGAAGATTTTTCGAATTTTCGGTAAGCCAGTTTTTCGAATTTTAGCTTGTTGAATTCTTTTTGACTTTCAAATTTTCGTATTTTTGATTTTCGAATTTTAGAATTTTCAATTATTTTCGACTGTCGATTTTTCGTATTTTTGGTTTTCGAAATTCGCTTAATCGGTTTTTCATTTACTAAGTTTGATTTTCGAATATTCAGTTTTTTTATTTTTCGATTTCTAGCTATTTCAATTTTTCGATACATATTTCGAATTTTCAATTTTTCGTTATTCCAGTTTCCAAATGCAAAATTTTTCCATTTTTTTAACAGTTGATTTTAGATTTTTTTTTAATTTAGCTTTTTGATTCCTGAATGTTTTGATATTCGAATTTTCAATTTTTATTTTCTGATTTCTCGATTTTTCAGCTTTCTAGAAGATTTTTTTTTTAATTTTCCATTTTTCGATATTTCAGTTTTTCCAGTTTTAGATTTTTCCATTTTTTCCTATTTTTAATTTTCGATTTTCGGTGTTTCAATTTTTCGACTCTCTGGAAAGTTTTTATTTTTTCACTATATTAAATTTTTGATTTTACGATATTCCAATTTTTCGAATTTAAAAGTTGTCCTTTTTTTATTTTCGATTTTTTAGTTTTTCGACTTTCTTTAGGATTTTTCTAGTTTTTCAATTTTTCGATTTTCCGTTTTTCGACTTTCAGTTTTAAGATAAGTATTCCAATTTTTCGAATTTTAGTCTGTTAAAATTTTTTTAATTTTTCTTGTCATTTTTTTTTAATTTAAGTCGATATTCGAATTTTCAGTCCTTACTTTCCGAAATTTCGATTTTTCAACATTCTTGAAGATTTTTCTTTTCTTCAATTTTCGACTTTTCGATATTCTTTTTTTCGAATTTTAGACTTTTTCCATTCTTTTGATTTTCGATTTTTCGAATTTTCTGTTTTTTACTGCTTTTTGCTTATAATACATTTAGGTCTCTTTACATAACACGATTACTTAACAACTTACTTCAAACGGTAATTTCTCGTAGAAAAATAAGGATTTTACAATTAAGCTCCTCCCCTGGACTCACGACGAATAAAAAAATATCATCAGAATTGAGATAGGGCGGGTGGGCGGGGCTTATATTTTGCCTTTTTTCTTAACATATTCAGTCGTCTTTTCAGAACAAGAACCTTAAAGTTTAAAATGGTAAATTCTTGTAGAGAACTAAGGATTTTGCAGTTAAGCTCCGCCCCCTTGGCTCACGACGAATAAAAAAATCATCACAATTGAGACAGGGCGGGTGGGCGGGGCAGCTCTAAAAGCAACGTCAACGGGAACAGCAACTGCAACGGAAACTTCAAGGACAAGAGCAAGTTTATAATATAAATCCCACTTTTAAGGTCTTCTCCAGAAGTTACAGTCACTTCCAGGAGGTTTCAGCGCTGCCAACCTAGAAAAAAAAATCAGCGCTTTAAAATTAATTGCGCCCTCTATCGATTCCTCGCGTAAACCTCCAACATTTTGGTGTTTGGTTATGTTCTAAACTTTCAGATAACAAAGAATATAATTAACTGCTTACGCGACGCTCTTATCAGACAAATCTCAACTACTTGCATGCTAATTCCTCCTGATAACAAACCAAACCATAAACCAGACATCCTTATCACTTTCGAAAGGTCAATAGTGACATTAGTGACAGTGCAGTGTGTACAAAACACAACACATGTGCTTTTCGGGGGTGTCAGTTCTCCATTCTTGACCAAACCAGTGAACTATGCGTACAGCCCCCCATTAAAACTAGCCGCTTTCACAAGATATCAAAGCCCTAAAACCCCAAACCATGGAAGGCGGACCCAACATCCAGGAAACCGAGGACAGCTCAAGCTCCTCTTCGGAAGAACCGCATCCGGGATGCGTCTACAGCTGCTGCAACCCCAGGGGCACCCTCCACCGCTTCGTGGCCCTCATTTTCATGTGCTTCCTCGGCTTCGGTAAGCGATTTTTAGGTTAGGTGAACTGTCATCGCGCCAGCTGATCGCCCAAAACAAAAACATTTTCGAAAAAAGCGACCCATTTCTGCGTAATCGCCCTTAATAGCTTCCTTATTTACACGAACGCGTACTTTGTTTGTTTACATTTTTCGCCCGAGTGATCTTTAACCCCACAAATTGATAGTCGTTAACATACTTCGCATTATCGCTGTTTAATAACAAATACTTTCATTGTGGTTGATTGTAGGTTCGTACTTTTGTTACGACAACCCGGCCGCTTTGGAGGACCACATTAAGAAGGATCTGAATCTGGATACGACGCATTATGCCATGCTTTACTCGATGTATTCGTGGCCCAACGTGGTGCTATGCTTCGTGGGAGGGTTCTTGATTGACAGAGTTTTCGGGATACGGCTGGGGACCAGTCTGTATATGGGGTTGACGTTGCTGGGACAGGTCCTGTTCGCTGGAGGGGTTTTGTTCGACCATTTTTGGGTCATGTGTGCCGGAAGATTCGTTTTTGGGTAAACTATTACCTGTTTATTTATGTTTTGGAATATTTGATGAATTAGTCAACTGTATCAGGAAGGTAATTGTAAGAAGAAAAAGCTCCAGAAAGTATAGTAATCTTGGGTTCTTCGGTGTAATGTTGGTTGCATAACCCTGGTATAATTAAATCTCCAAAATTAGTTTACCAATTTTTGCTTCCTAAGCTTTAAATTTAATTTCTATGTCTTATATATTTATTTATTTAATTATTTCCACCAAAAGTGTGATGACGTCACTTCAAAATTGTACATAGCAAATCTGTTTTAATTTAAGGGATTATCATAAACTCAATAAAATTCGCAAATTTGTTGTATTGTACTCCAGCGGCGAGGGAAATTCTCTATAAATAACTTTAGACCAAGTTTTCAAATTTGTAATTTTGCATTTTTTTTATTTTTCAGTTTTATTTTTTTACGATAATGAGATTTTCCAATTTCCCGATTATTCAATTTTTGGATTTTTTATTTTCAGGTGTTTGATATTTGAATTGAAGAATTTTTTCAATTTTATAATTTTGAAATATGTGTTTCATTTGTACAGTTTTATAATTTTTTGATTTTTCAACTTCACAGTTGTCTGATTTCTTAATTTTTCAATTTTAAAATTATACAATTTTTCAGTTTTGTAATTTTGCCATTTTTGATGTATTTATTTTTCAGTTGTCCACTTTTTAATGAATTAGTTTTTCAATCTTTGAATTTTCAATTCTCGATGTTTCAATTTTTCGGGTTTGGAATTCTTGCTTTTTCAATTTTTCGATTTTTCATTTTTCAGTTGTTCCCTTTTTTAATTGAATGATTTTGCGATTTTTTTAAATTACAGTTTAATAAATCTTCGAGTTTACATTTAATCCAATTTTTCAATTCTGTAATTTTACATTTTCCATTTTTTTTATTTTAAATTGTTCAAAATTTCAATTTAAATTTTTAAAAATTTTAATTTTCGGCTTAATTATTTTACAACTATTCATTTTTAAAAGAATTTGAGTCTCCAACTTTTCTATTTTACATACTCATTTTTTGATTTTTCAATTTTACATTTTTTACAATTTTCGGATGTCAGTTATTCTAAAAATGGAATCAAATTCTCAATTTTCAGCTTTATAATTCTTCGTTTTCTCAATTATCCGAATTTCACTGTTTCGATAATTATCTGAGTTTTCAATTTTTCGATTTTAATAAAATTATTCGATTTTAAATTTAATGTTTTTTTTTATTTTTGGAGTTTTAAGTTTTTACAATTTTAGAGCTCTCAATTTTGAGTTTGAAATTTTTGCAATCTTAGATTTCTCAATTTTCCGGTTTTTAATGAATCCGTTTTCAATTCCAATAATTTCTCGTTTTTAAAATTTGGTTTTTTCAATTATCCAAATTTTATTGTTTTGTTTTTAAAATTTTTTGATTTTCAATTTTTCAAAATTTCCATTTTCATTTTTTTTTCGTTTTATATTTGTGTGGTTTTTCGTTTTTTTAATATTATAATTTTTCTATTTTTCTATTTTCAAGTTTGTTTATATTTTTGAAATTTTTCAGATTTACAGCTTAATAATGTTTTAATTTTACAATTATCCAATTTTTCTTTGATTTGACAGTTTTTTAAATTTCGTTGTTTCGATATTCCAATTTTTTGATTTTTAATTTTTCAAAATTTCGATTTTTAATTTTTCAAAAATTCGATTTTTGATTTTTCAATTTCAAATTTTCGCAATTTTTCGATTTTAGAATTGTTCGATTTTCAATTGTATATTTTTTAATTTTGAGTTTTATATTTTTGCAATCTTAGATTTTTCAGTTTTCGTTCTTTCAAAATTTCAATTTTGGTTTTTTAAATAGCCGTATTTCATTCTTTCGATTTTCCGATTTTTTAGTTGTTCAAAATTTGATTTTCAATTATCCGAACTTCATGGTTTCGAGTTTTCAATTTTTGGATTTTTAATTTTTCAAAATTTCTATTTTCAATTTTTCTGATCTATTATCTGATTTTTAAAATTTCCAATTTTATTTTCGAATTTATCTTTTTACAATTTTTTGATTTCTCAGATGTTCGTTTTTTTTCAATTATCGAATTTTTGATTTTTCAGTTATCCAAATTTATTTGTTTCGATTTTCCAATTTTTTGATTTTTTTCGATTTTTCAATTTTGTAATTTTTCAATTTTACGATTCTGTATCTGATTTTTCAATTTTTCGATTCTAAAATTATTCGATTTTCATTGTTGTAATTTAGCAATTTTTTGATTTTTGAGTTTTTTGTTTTTACAGTTTTTACAGATTTCTCAATTGTGCAATTTTTAATGAATCAGTTTTTCAATTTTATAATTCTTCATTCTTAAAATTTTTTGTTTTTTCAATATCATTAAATTTTTTATTTTTCAGTTATCCGAATTTTATTGTTTCGATGTTCCAATTTTTTGATTATTCATTTTTCAAAATTACGCAATATTTCGATTTTAAAATGATTCAATTTTCAGTTGTATATTTTTTCATTTTTGAGTTTTATATTTGGGCAATCATAGATTTCTCAAATTTCCGGTTTTTAATGAATCAATTTTTCAGTTTTTAATTTTTTTATTCATCGTTTTTAAATTTTTTGTTTTTTCAGTTATTCAATTAGCCAAATTTTCATTGTTTCGTTTTTCCAATCTTTTAGTTTTTCAAAATTTCGATTTTCAATTTTGCAATTTTTCAACTTTTCAATTTTGTAAATTTTTTATTTTACAATAATTATTATGTACTTATTTGATTTTTCACTTTTTCGGATTTGAAATTAGATTTTCAATTTTATACTTTTGGAATTTTTCAATTTTACAATTACATTCAAATTTTCAATGTTATAATTTTGAATTTTTTCATTTTTGAGTTTTATGTTTATACAATTTTTCGATTTCTCAATTGTCCGGTTTTTAATGGATCGATTTTTCAATTCTCAATTTTATAATTCGTTTTTTAAAATTTTTGGTTTTATCAATTTTTGATTTTCAATTATTCAAACTTCATTGTTTCGAGTTTCCAATGTTTGAATTTTTAATTTTTCAAAATCTCGATTTTAATTTTTTCAAGTTTTGATTTTTCCATTTTATAGTTTTTGTAATTTTTCGATTTTTCAGTTTTGTAGTTTTTTCATTTTACAACTGTGTCTGATTTTTCAATTTTTCTTTGTTAAAATTCGATTTTTAATTTTATATTTTTGCAATTTCTCAGATTTACAGTTTAATATGTCAATTTTATAATTACATAGAATTTTTCAATGCTGTAATTTTGAATTTTTTGATTTTCGAGTTTTATGTTTTCACAATTTTTCAATTTCTAAATTGTCCGTCTTTTAATGAATCAATTTTTCAATTTTCAATTTTATAATTCTTCGATTTTAAATTTTATATTTCTCATTTTTGAGTTTTATGGTTTTCAATTTTATATTTCTTCGTTTTTTCAGTTATTTAATTTTTGATTTGTCAATTATCCAAATTTCATTGTTTTTGATTTATCCATTGTATAGTTTTTGTAATTTTTGATTTTTCAATTTTGTAATTTTTCCGTTTTACAGTTATATATCTGTATATCAATTTTTCTTTTTATATTTTTGCAATTTTTCAATGTTCTAATTTTGAATTTTTTGATTTTCCAGTTTTAGTTTTCACAGCTTTTCGATTTCTTCGTTGTTAAAATTTTTTGTTTTTTCAATTATCCCGACTTCATTGTTTCGATTTTCCAATTTTTTTAAAATTTTTCAAAATTTTTGCTTTCAATTTTTCAAGTTTTTGATTTTTCATTTTCAAAATTTCGCATTTTGTGATTTTAGTAATTTGAAATATTTCTGTTTCACAATTGTCTGATTTTTCAAATTTTGATTTTAAAATTATTTTTTCTTTTCAATTTCATATTTTTTCATTTTTGGGTTTTATGTGTTTACAAATTTTAGATTTCTCAGTGGTCTGGTTTTTAAGGAATCAATTTCTCAGTTTTCAATTTTTTCTTCGTTTTTTAACTTATCTTTTTTTCAATTATTCAGTTATCCAATTTTGTAATTTTTCAGTTATCAGAATTTAATTCTATCGATGTTCCAATTGATTATTTTTTTAAAATTTCGGTTTTAAATTTTTCAATTTTGAAATTTTTCTATTTTACAATTATGTATCTGATTTTTCAAATTTTCGATCTTCAGTTTTATACTTTTGCATTTTTGAGTTTTATGGTTTTACAATTTTTAGATTTCTCATTTGTCCGTCCGATTTCTAATGAATCAATTTCTCAATTTTCAATTTTATATTTCTTCGTTTTTAAAATTTTTCGTTTTTTCAGTTATTCAGTTTTTGACTTTTATATTTTGGCTTTTTTTTCTTAATATAAGTAGCCATCTTTTCACAACAAAAAACTTAGATTTTTGCAAGGAAATATATATTTTGCAATTACGGGGCGGAGCCTAATTCCAAAATCGATATTTCCTTATACAAATTTTCGATTTTAAACATGTTTTAAATTGTGAAAAGAAGTCTACACATACTCAAACAAAAAGGCAAAATGTAAGCCCGCCCACCCTCCCTATCTCAATTGTAATGATTTTTTTTATTCGCCGTGAAGCAAGGGGGCGGAGCTTAACTGCAAAATACGTATTTCTTTACAAGAAATTAAAAACAGGTTTTTGTTTATCGTGTTGTTCAAAGAATACTAAATATATTAAGAAAAAAAGGGAAAACATAAACCCCGCCCACCCACCCCAACTCCATTCTGATGATTTTGTTTATTCGTAGAAACTTCAAACACGTTTAAAATGATAAATTCTAGTAGACAAATATGGATCTTGCAATTAAGCCCCGCCCCTCGATCTGACAACGAATGAAAAATTCATCACAATTGAGAATTAAGATCGGGGCGGGGCCTAATTTTTGGTTTTATTTTTTTTTTAATATACATAGTATTCTTTGAACAACACGATACTCAAAAACATGTTTTAATTTCTCGTAGAGATAAAGGACTCACGACGAATAAAAAAAATTATCACAATTGAGATAGGGCGGATGGGCGGGGCTACATTGTGCTTTTTTCCTTAATATGTGTAGCTTATTTCGACAAGTTATCTGATCGTTTAATTTTTCAAAATTTCAGCTTTCAATTTTCAAGTTTTTGATGTTTCAATTTTATATTTTCACAATGTTTAGATTTTTAAATTTTGTAATTTGGCAATTTTACAATTATCGAATTTTTCTATTTCTCAATTAACCGGTTTTTTAGATTTTTCCGTTTTCACTCGTTCAATATTTCAGTTGTAGAATTTCTTTTATTTAAAAATTTTTAAATAACTCGAGTTTCCAAATTTCTTCATTTAATTTCTTACACTGTTACTTGTATTGTCTATATATTGTTTCAATACACGGGAAGTAAAAATTACAATTACCTTTCACTTAAATGGCAGTCATTTTTTATTATTATAAATTTCACACCTTTTCATGACAAAAATTTCAGCATCGGCGCCGAATCCCTAGCCGTGGCCCAAAACAACTACGCCGTCTTGTGGTTCAAGGGCAAGGAGCTGAACATGGTCTTCGGGCTGCAGCTCAGCTTCGCTAGGGTCGGCAGCACCGTGAACTTCCTGGTGATGGAGTCGGTGTACGAGTGGGTGAACAAACAATACAAGGGCCCAGAAGGGCTTGGAATCGTTCTGTTTCTGGCGACTACCACGTGCTTATTGTCCATGCTGTGCGCTTTGGTCCTGGGCATCATGGACAAAAGGGCCGAACGAATTCTGCGGAGACAGGAAACCGAAAGTGGTGAGGTGGCCCGGTTGAGGGACGTCCTGGATTTCAAAGCTACGTTCTGGTTGATCACGGTGGTCTGCGTGGCGTACTACGTGGCGATTTTTCCCTTCATAGGATTGGGCAAGTAAGTAACTAGTGATAGGTTTCTCGTCGTTCTATAATTTCATTAAGTTATGTAAAAAAAACAATTTTCGGTCGATTGAACCAATTTTAACCACTTTTTTGGAAAATTTTTGGAAATTTTGAACTCACTTTTCGAGTTTATTGTAATAGATATCGTAACGGCGATTTCAGTTTGGTAACAAGAGGAAGATTATCTACAATTTGGCACCAATTTTGGGTCGATTGAACCGATTTTAACCACTTTTTTGGAAAATTTTTGGAAATTTTGAATTCATTTTTCGAGTTTTTTGTAATTGTTATCGTAACAGCGATTTCAAATTCGCAACTATCGGGAGATTATCTACAATTTGGCACCAATTTTCGGTCGATTGAAGCAATTTTAACCACTTTTTTGGACAATTTTTGGAAATTTGAATTCATTTTTCGAGGGTATCGTAATAGATATCGTAACGGCGATTTCAGATTCGTAACTAGCGGAAGATTATCTACAATTTGGCATGAATTTTCGGTCGATTGAACCAATTTTAACCACCTTTTTGGAAAATTTTTGGAAATTTTGAATTCATGTTTCGTGTTTATTGGAACAGATATCGTGACGGCGATATCAGATTCGTAACTAGCGGAACATTATCTACAATTTGGCACCAATTTTCGGTCGATTGAACCAATTTTAACCACTTTTTTGGAAAATTTTGGGAAATTTTGAATTCAGTTTTCGTGTTTATTGGAACACATATCGTGACGGCGATTTCAGATTCGTAACTAGCGGAAGATTATCTACAATCTGGCATCAAGTTTCGGTCGATTGAACCAATTTTAACCACTTTTTTGGAAAATTTTTGGAAATTTTGAATTAACTTTTCGAGAGTATTGTAATAGATATGGTAACGGCGATTTCAGATTCGTAACTAGCGGAAGATTATCTACAATTTGGCACCAATCTTCGATCGATTGAACCATTTTAACCACTTTTTTGGAACATTTTTGGAAATTTTGAATTCACTTTTCGAGTTTATTGTAATAGATATCGTAACGGCGATTTCAGATTCGTAACAGGCGAAAGATTATCTACAATTTGGCACCAATTTTCGCTCGATTGAACCAATTTTAACCACTTTTTTGGAAAATTTTTGGAAATTTTGAATTTACTTTTCGAGAGTATTGTAATAGATATCGTAACGGCGATTTTAGATACGTAACTAGCGGAAGATCATTTACAATTTGGCACTAATTTTCGATCGATTGAACTAATTTCAACCACTTTTTTGGAAAATTTTTGGAAATTTTGAATTGATTTTTCGCGTTTATTGTAATAGATGTCGTAACGGCGATTTCAGATTCGTAACAAGCGGTAGATTATCTACAATTTGGCACCAATTTTCGGTCGATTGAACCAATTTTTTCTACTTTTTTGGAAAATTTTTGGAAATTTTGAATTAAGTTTTCGTGTTTGTTGGAACAGATATCGTAACGGCGATTTCAGATTCGTAACTAGTGGAAGATTATCCACAATTTGGCGCCAATTTTCGGTCGGTTGAACCAATTTTAACCATTTTTTTGGAAAATTTTTGGAAATTTTTAATTCACTTTTCGAGGGTATTGTAACAGAAATCGTGACGGCGATTTCAGATTCGAAACAAGCGAAAGATCATCTACAATATGGCACGAATTTTCAGTCAATTGAACGAATTTTAACCACTTTTTTGGAAAATTTTTTAAAATTTTGAGTTCACTCTTTGAGTTTATTGTAATAGTTATCGTAACGGCGATTTCAGATTCGTAACAAGCGGAAGATTATCCACAATTTGGCACCAATTTTCGGTCGAATGAACCAATTTTAACCACTTTTGGAAAATTTTTGGAAATTTTGAATTGATTTTTCGCATTTATTGTAAAAGATGTCGTAACGGCGATTTCAGATTCGTAACAAGCGGAAGATTATCTACAATTTGGCACCAATTTTCGGTTGATTGAACCAATTTTAACCGCTTATTTGGAAAATTTTTGAAAAGTTTGAATTCACTTTTCGTGTTTATTGGAACAGATATCGTAACGGCGACTTCAGATTCGTATCTAGCGGAAGATTATCTACAGTTTGGCACCAATTTTCGGTCGATTGAACCAATTTTAACCACTTTTTTGGAAAATTTTTGGAAATTTTGAATTCACTTTTCGCTTTTATTGTAACAGATATCTAAACGGCAATTCCAGATTCGTAATTAGCGGAAGATTTTCTTCGATTTGGCAACAATTTTCGGTCGATTGAACCAATTTTAACCACTTTTTTGGAAAATTTTTGGAAATTTTCAATTCATTTTTCGCGTTTGTTGTAATAGATGTCGTAACGGCGATTTCAGATTCGTAACTAGCGGAAGATTATCTACAATTTGGCACCAATTTTCGCTCGATTGAACCAATTTTAACCACTTTTTTGGAAAATTTTGTGAAATTTTGAATTCATTTTTCGAGGGTATTGTAATATATATCGTAACGGCGATTTCAGATTCGTAACTAGCGGAAGATTATCTACAATTTGACACCAATTTTCGGTCGATTGAACCAATTTTAATCACTTTTTTAGAACATTTTTGGAAATTTTGAATTCACTTTTCGAGGGTTTTGAAATAGATATCGTGACGGCGATTTCAGATTCATTACTAGCGGAAGATTACCTATAATTTGGCACCAATTTTCGGTCGATTGAACCACTTTTAACCACTTTTTTGAAAAATTTTTGGAAACTTTGCATTCACTTTTCGAGTTTATTTTAATAGATATCGCAACGGCGACTTCAGATTCGGAATAGGCGGAAGATTATCTACAATTTGGCACCAATTTTCGGTCGATTGAACCAATTTTAACCACTTTTTTGGAAAATTTTTGGAAATTTTGAATTCATTTTTCGAGTTTATTGTAATAGCTGTCCTCACGGTGATTTCAGATTTGTGACTAGCGGAAGATTATCTACCATTTGGCACCAATTTTCGGTCGATTGAACCAATTTAAACCACTTTTCTGGAAAATTTTTGGAAATTTCGAATTCACTCTTCGAGTTTATTGTAACAGTTAACGTAACGGTTATTTCAGATTCGGAACTAGCGGAACATTATCTACAATTTGACACCAATTTTCGGTCGATTGAACCAATTTTAACCACTTTTTGGAAAATTTTTGGAAATTTTGAATTCACTTTTCGAGTTTATTGTAATGGATATCGTAACGGCGATTTCAGATTCGTAACAAGCGCGAGATTGTCGACAATTTGGCACCAATTTTCGGTCGATTGAACAGGTTTTAACCACTTTTTTGAAAAATTTTTGGAAATTTTGAATTCACTTTTCGAGGGTATTGTACTAGATATCGTGACGGCGATTTCAGATTCGTAACAAGCGGAAGATTATCTACAATTTGGCACCAATTTTCGCTCGATTGAACCACTTTTAACCACTTTTTTGGAAAATTTTTGGAAATTTTGAATTCATTTTTCGAGGGTATTGTAATAGTTATCGTAACGGCGATTTCAGATTCGTAACAAGCGGAAGATTATCCACAGTTTGGCACCAATTTTCGCTCGATTGAACCACTTTTAACCACTTTTTTGGAAAATTTTGGGAAATTTTTAATTCAGTTGTCGAGTTTACTACATATAATAGATGTTCTAACGGCGATTTCAGATTCGTAACTAGCGGAAGATTATCCACAGTTTGGCACCAATTTTCGCTCGATTGAACCACTTTTAACCACTTTTTTGGAAAATTTTGGGAAATTTTTAATTCAGTTGTCGAGTTTCCTATAATAGATGTTCTAACGGCGATTTCAGATTCGTAACTAGCGGAAGATTATCTACAATTTGGCACCAATTTTCGGTCGATTGAACCAATTTTAACCACTTTTTTGGAAAATTTTTGGAAATTTTGAATTCACTTTTCGGGTTTTTTGTAGTAGATATCGTAAGGGCGATTTCAAATTCGTAACAAGCGGAAGATTATCTAAAAATTGGCACCAATTTTCGGTCGATTGGCCCAATTTTAACTACTTTTTTGGAGAATTTTTGGATATTTTGAATTCACTTTTCGAGTTTATTATAATAGATATCGTGACGGTGATTTCAGATTCGTAACTAGCGGAACATTATCTACAATTTGGCACCAATTTTCGGTCGATTGGCCCAATTTTAACCACTTTTTTGGAAAATTTTTGGAAATTTTGAATTCACTTTTCGGGGGTATTGTAATAGAAATCGTAACGGCGATTTCAGATTCGCAACTAGCAGAAGATTATCTACAATTTGGCACCAATTTTCGGTCGATTGGCCCAATTTTAACCACTTTTTTGGAAAATTTTTGGAAATTTTGAATCCACTTTTCGGGGGTATTGTAATAGATATCGTAACGGCGATTTCAGATTCGCAACTAGCGGAAGATTATCTACAATTTTGCACCAATTTTCGGTCGATTGAGCCAATTTTAACCACTTTTTTGGAAAATTTTTGGAAATTTTGAATTCAGTTTTCGTGTTTATTGGAACAGATATCGTAACGGCGATTTCAGATTCGTAACAAGCGGAAGATTATCTACAATTTGACACCAATTTTCGGTTGATTGAACCAATTTTAACCACTTTTTTGGAGAATTTTTGGAAATTTTGAATTCACTTTTGGAGTTTATTGTAATGGTTATCGTAACGGTAATTTCAGATTCGTAACTAGCGGAAGATTATCTACAATTCGGCACCAATTTTCGGTCGATTGAACCAATTTTAACCACTTTTTTGGAAAATTTTTGGAAATTTTGTATTCGGTTTTCGTGTTTATTGGAACAGATATCGTGACGGTGATTTCAGATTCGTAACTAGCGGAACATTATCTACATTTTGGCACCAATTTTTGGTCGATTGGCCCAATTTTAACCACTTTTTTGGAAAATTTTTGGAAATTTTGAATCCACTTTTCGGGGGTATTGTAATAGATATCGTAACGGCGATTTCAGATTCGCAACTAGCGGAAGATTATCTACAATTTCGCACCAATTTTCGGTCGATTGAGCCAATTTTAACCACTTTTTTGGAAATTTTTTGGAAATTTTGAATTCACTTTTCTACTTCATTGTAATAGAAATCGTAACGGCGATTTCAGATTCGTAAGAAGTGGAAGATTGTCAACAAATTGGCACCAATTTTAGCCACTTTTTTGGAAAATTTTTGGAAATTTTGAATTCACTTTTCATGTTTATTGGAACAGATATCGTGACGGCGATTTCAGATTCGTAACAAGCGGAAGATTATCTACAATTTGGCACCAATCTTCGGTCGATTGAACCAATTTTAACCAGTTTTTTGGAAAATTTTTGGAAATTTTGTATTCACTTTTCGAGTTTATTGTAATAGATATCGTAACGGCGATTTCAGATTCGTTACAAGCGGAAGATTATCTACAATTTGGCACAAATTTTCGGCCGATTGAACCAATTTTAACCACTTTTTTGGAAAATTTTTGGAAATTTTGAATTCAACTTTCGTGTTTATTGGAACAGATATCGTAACGGCGATTTCAGATTCGTAACAAGCGGAAGATTATTTACAATTTGACACCAATTTTCGGTCGATTGAACCAATTTTAACCACTTTTTTGGAAAATTTTTGGAAATTTTCAATTTACTTTTCGAGTTTACTGTAATAGATATCGTAACGGCGATTTCAGATTCGTAACAACCGGATGATTATCTACAATTTGGCATCAATTTTCGGTCGATTGAACCAATTTTAACCACTTTTTTGGAAAATTTTTGGAAATTTTGAACTCACTTTTCGAGTTTATTGTAATGGTTATCGTAACGGCGATATGAGATTCGTAACTAGCATTAGATGCATGCAGTGTTGCCAATTTTACTTTAATAAAATTACGTTTTTTTGTAATATATATCAAAAGGATTTTTTTTTTATTTTTTTGTAACCATTTCATTTGTACCTAATTTTAGTTGATCTGTACAATTGGTTCTCAAGATATTTAGCCGTTTCCATACATTCTGGCCCGAATTAATGTTTATTGTTATTATTATTGTACTTCAAGTTGCAGGCTTATTATTTTATTGCACCATACGATCGAAAAAACCTCTAGTGGGCCATGAAATTTATTAAAAAGAAATCATGTTGGCATTGCAGGTATTTGACCGTAGCTGTCAAACCGAACAAGAAATGTGTTGGTGTTGTCGCCATTATTTTTTTAACACTAAATTTCATGGCCTACTAGAGGATTGTTTTGGGATTTTTTTATCAGACAGTAATTTATAATATACATGACGCAAGAGCACACTAGTTCGCCACTTTTCACTTTATGGAAATATGAAACAGGTAATACGAGTAATCGGTCGCGGATTTAATTTATTTATTGCTTATTTTTCGACGATTTGCATACTTCGGGTTTTTGTTACATACACAACAATAATTCTGCTAATAAAAGTTCATTGTTAAAAAACATGTTTATTAGTACCCGAACATAAAGATTTTGCAAAATGGACTATCAGTTTACATCATTACATTATTCCTCTTAAAATATAAGAACACAATCGCACGTATAAGCTCTTGGCACGATTAATTCAAAGAGTGTTGGATCCTTCAGAGGAGCTTTCATCACAGCATAGTGTTCGGCAGCATACGTAACTAGAATCGCAGACACCATCACACACCCAGAACTCCACAGCAACACGTTAAAGAACATATTTTTGGGAAAGTTGAGATAAAACGTCGGGAAGATGACAGCTACACCCACAAAGAATAAAACAGGAAAAAATTTACCCAGGAAACAGAACATCACGTACTCGTGCATGACAAACGACAGTAAAAGAACCACAAAAATCGCCAGAAAATTGTTCTGGAAAAAACAGTGCTTGAAATCGCGGTATACGTAGTAGTAGAGCCAATCTCGCACCAGTAGGTTCCACGTTGCCAACCACCTGCTGTGTGTGGATTGGTTCCACCAGTCTTGGTAGAATAATCTGTCCCCGAAGCGAGTGACTTCAGCGAATAGGTTTTGGACGGAGTGAAAAACCAGGAAGAAACTTCCACACAGCACCAAACTTCCGTGCGGAATACGTTCAATTACGTCTAGCAATGCCTCCTTTATAGTATACTTCTGTAGCCATCTTTCTGGACTTGGATAAATGCTCTGTACAATAAAGGTGAATATGAATACTATGCTTATGGCTTCGAGAAGGCGACAAATGACGAAGTTCCAGTCGATGTGTTTCGTTCGTGGGTAGCTGTCTCGGTAGATGAGAGTAGGAGCGAAGAGGAAGTACAGGAAATTGGAAAATTTTGCATCTTCTGAAAGCGACATTAGTGGGGGAGCTTTGATGCGCACGAAAGAGTGCACTTTCATTAAAAGCCGGACCTGGAAATTTTTAGATGGTTGAAATTTTTGAGTGTTGATGTACAATCGCACGCAAATGTTTTGAGCCTATGGGCGGATCGTTTTTGCCTGCCCTCACCGAAGAAGGCGGTCCAAATCCTTCAAGGGCAGAATTTGTAGGTAGGCTCAAACTACAACGAAATTCAGATTTTACCCTATAAAATTTTATTGACAATAACGGGACGGACAGTAGTTATATATACATTTGGTAAGAAATATTTATGGCTCACACCAGTTCTCTCGAATTTGTCGGAGAAGATTTAACAGGTAGTTGTTCCCATAAAATAATGGTCACTTTCGTTCGTGAGTAACGATGGTCCGGACATGAATTATTTTGCTTTCTAACATCTTTCGACCAATTGTTCCGTATAAAAAATTTCATCACTTTTTCAAATAAAATACTCTTAAAAAAAACGATATTGTCGTTGAGTGACATGTAACTGGTATAATAATAAAAACGTGCCATTTTTGTTAACTGATATTTTTTTCATAAATGTCACAAAATTATTAAATTTGTCTAATCATCCCCACCAATAATGTGATGACGTCACTTCAAATGTATGCATAGTAAATGGGTTTTAAATTGTATACAGTAACATAGTCCTACACATGTAGTTTATGACTCCGTGTTGAGTTTTTATCCAAAACGTCCAGATTTTTGGAAAAAAATCAAAATTATAAAACAATATTTTGCAATTTAATTTTGAATTTGCAAAATCGAATACTCTGAAATCTTGCAGATGTTTTAAAATCATGATAAACATGATACATTTTTAATTAAAATATATTTGCTTATCCCCTCTAAAAAATTTATGACGTCACCTCAAAATTTTGGAGAATAAATCCTATCTTAAATGTATAAAATATGATGAGTTTTATACTTGTGATTTATCACTGCATTCATATTTTTTAGATTTGGTTATACAGGGTGTCTCAAAAAAGTTAATGACTGAGTCAATTTATTTTATTGAAGAAATGAAGAATAGCAAAACTGAATACTTTGAAATATTGTAGATGTTTTGAAGTTTTTGTAAGCATGGTAACTTTTTCGAAAATTTGATTAATCAAATATGCGCAAAATCAAAAATCGGAAAAACTGAAATTCACTAATGCAAAAAACAGAAAATCGAAAAATACAAATCGTAAAAATCGAAAATCTAAAAATGGCTAATCAAAAAATCGAAAATTCAATGAATCAAATACCTAGGTCGATCGAAAAGTGGAAATTCACAAACCTCAAAAAAAAAATTAAAAAAATCAAAAACAAAAATAAAAAAAATCGGAAATTAAAATAATCAAAATATATAAAGTAAAAAAAATTGCAAAGTCTAAAAACTGAAACGAACAGAAAAATCGAAAAAGCAAAAAATTGGAAAAACAAAAATCCGAAAAATCTAAAATCGAAAAAGTGGAAAATGGAAAATCTGAATAAAGAAACTTGAAAATTCTGAAAATAAGAAAATCGAAAACCAAAAAATCGGAAAGTAACAAAATTGAAGTCTAACAGTTGAGAATGGAAAAATTGAAAAACCGAAAATTCTAAAAATCGACAATGGACAAATTGAAAATCGCAAAATTTAAATTGAAAAATTGAACATCGAAAAATCGATGAATTGAAAAATCGAAAATTCGACTACTCAAATTTGCTAAAAATCGAAAAATCATAAAACTGAAAAATCCAAAATTCTAATCATCGAAAGTCTGAAAACTGAAAATCGAAAATTCTGAAAAGCGGAAAATAGAACATCGAAAAATTCAAACGAAAGAAAATTGAAGTCTAAAAACCGAAGAATGGAAAAATTAAAAATCAAAAATTCGAAAAATCAAAACCGAAAAATTCAAAGATTTAAAAAGAAAATCGAAAAATCAAAAATCTGAAAATTGAAACTCGAAAATTTGGAAAATCGAAAAGTAAAAAAATTGAAGTCTAAAAGCTGAAAAATGGAAAACTGAACAATCGAAAATTCGAAAATCAAATATCGAAAAATCGAAAAGCCGAAAAATCGAAAATTTGATAAATCAGATATGCGAAAAACAGAAAATCTGAAAATGCAAAACTGGAAAATCAAAAATCTAAAAATGGAAAAACCGAAAATTGAAAATTCAATGAATCTAATACGTAGGTCGATCGAAAAACTGGAAATTCACAAATCTGAAAAATCGAAAATTTGCAAGATTGAAAAACCGAGAATTGAAAAATCAAAAAACCGAAAAATGGAAAAATCAAAAATCGAAAAATAGGAAAACCGAAAATTCGAAAATTCATAATATTGAAAACTCTAAAAGTCGACAATTCAAAAATCAAAAAACTGGAAAGTAAAATAATCGAAAAATCGAAAGGTAAACAAATTGCAAAGCCTAAAAACTGACGAACAGAAAAATCGAAAAATCGTAAAATCAAAAAGTGGAAAATCGAAAACTGGAAATTGAAAAATCGAAGATTGGAAAATCGAAAAATCGAAAATCGGAATATCGAGAATCGACAAATTAAAAAACCGAAAAATCGAAAAATTAAAAAATCGGAAATCGAAAAATGAAAAAAAAACGAAAATTCAAAAATCGAATAATACGAAACTAAAATAATAGAAAAGTGGAAAAGTAAAAATTGCAGTCTCAAAACTGACGAACAGAACAATCGAAAAATAAAAAAAAAGAAAAATATCTAAACATGGAAAATCGAAAAATCGAAAATCGGAAAATGGAAAAACCGAAAAATCGAAAATCGAAAACTCGAACAATCGAAAATTCGGTGAAACAAATACTCGAAAAAGCGAAAAGTAAAAAAATTGCAAGGCCTAAAAATTGAAAAATCAAAAAATCGAAAAAACGACGATCGAGAAAAAATCAAAAAATCGAAAAGTGGAAAATCGGAAAGTAACAAAATTGAAATCTAAAAGCTGCAAATTGCAGAACCATAAAAACTGAAACAAACAGAAAAATCGAAAAACCACAAAATCGGAAAAACGAAAATCGAAAAATCGCAAATCGAAAAATCGTAAAATCAGAAAATGGAAAATCGAATAATCGAAAGTTGAAAAATCGAAGGTCGAAAAATAAAACAACCCAAAAATTGAAAAATTTTATAATTAATGGAAAATCGAAAAATCGAGAATAGAAGAATTAAAAAACCGGAAAATTGAAAAATCGGAAATCGAAGAATTAAAAACGTAAAATCGAGAATTCAAAAATCAAAAAAATCGGAAAGTAAAATATAATCGAAAAATGCAAAAAAATTGCTAAGTCTAAAAACTGACGAACAGAAAAATCAAAAAATCTAAAAATGGAAAGACGAAAAATCGAAAATTGAAAGAATGGCAAATTAAAAAATCGAAACATCGAAAAATCAAAAAAACGAAAAATTAAAAAATCGAAAAACGAAAAAACTGAAAACTCGAAAAACCAAAATACCGCAAATTTGAAAAATCAGAAAATTAGAAAGTAATAAAATCGAAAAGTTGATAGAAAAATGGAAATGGAAAAATCTAATTCGATGAAACTGTTGGTCGAAAATACGAAAAATCGAAAATCGAAGTGACCTTTTTTTGAGACAAGCTGTATAAGTAAATCTAAAAAATATTACTGCAATGATAAATCACAGGTATAGACTCATCATATCAAATTTTACGATGACGTCATGTATTTTTTGGCGAAGATAAGCAAATACATTTTGATCGTGGCTTTGAGTATTCTTCGACTTTCGTTCCGTTTCAAAATTTACTCTTTGTATATTTCAGTGGTCACAACGAGTTCACTAAGTACGCTGAAGTATGCGAAGATTAAATTTGTCACCGAAAAGATGTCGGAAGTAATAAATTATCCTATCGGTCGAAGAACGTTCGGTCCGCAGTAAAGGATAACAAATGGAACGGATAAAATAAAGCGTCAAATATGATTGATAAACTTTAAACCAAAATTATGAAGTTTATAAACTGAACATTTTTTTTGCTTTTTGAAATGTAGTACACTTCAAAAAATGTCCGTGACTTACTTTAATGTGAATTTTATAACTATGGTCGGCACAATTAGACCTAATATTAGTGTGATTTTGAGCATATTCTCGATGTTATTAGAGCAGGACAGGTTTTTTTTTTCTAACTAATTGACAAGATTTCAAAGTATTCAGTTTTGCAATTCTTGATTTCTTCAATAAAATAAATTGACTCAGTCATTATTTTTTTTTGAGTCAACCTATATGTATAAACAAATCCAAAAAATATTAATGGAATAGTAAATCACAAGTATAGACTCATCATATTCTGAACATTTTGGATAGGGTATTTATAAAATTAAAACTAATTCAGGGTAAGAATTTGGTCATCACGTAAATTTCGTTGTAGTTTGAGCCTACCTACAAATTCTGCCCTTGGACGATTTGGACCGCCTCCTTCGACCGGCAAAAATGATCCGCCCATAGGCTCAAAACATTTGCGTGCGCTTGTACTTACAGATTCTATGGATACGAAGACTGCACACGGTGGATTAAATTCGAAGTATAGCGTTGCGGTACTTGTGAATTTTATCGTGTAAAAGTAGTAGAGGCCTAAAGCGGCTGCCCAAAACCAGTCCCATGTTCTGGTCAATTCTGAAAATAAGTGATTGTTGCGCAAGATATTTTGGTATACAGGTGCTACAATACTGGGTGTCTCAACTTTTATAGTTGACGGTTTATAGCAAAATTCAGAAAACCTATGAAGAAAATTTTCGACTTACTTTTATCCCAGGTTCTAAATTTCCCCCAAATTTGGAAAAAGAAAAACGTCGCACACGTCGACAAGAAACAACACAGCCAAATCAGTATGGCTTTATCGAATTTAGCGAATCCTTTTCCGATCGTTTCTAGTCCGAAATCCACCCTAAAACAATACGATCGTCATGACGATTTTTTTTAAATATTATATTTATTCACCTCCCGTCCCTTAAGTAGTGCGTCAGCGCGTTTTGAAAGCACATAAGCATGAAAACGATAACGTAGACATTGTAGATGTTGCCAGTGTGTTGGTCGTCGAAGATGTCTGTGAGTAGGGAATTTCTAAGGACGAACGTTTTTTCGCGCGACCTGAAAATGGAGAAATATAAAAATTATCTATGATTTTTCTTTGGGGTGTACGTTTTTTTTTTGGGCTCGTCGGACTGCATTTTCGAAAGGTGGTTTTTTAAGTGAATAAAAATTACACTACACACAACACAAACAAGCGATGGATCGGTGTATACTGGATCGATTTATCTCGCCCCGTATCCTGAATATATTCAAGGTTTTCTTCTTTTTCGATTTGCGAGATGGCTTCCGTTGGTCGGGTTCGTTAAAATTTTTGGAAAGTTTCAAAGCCGTTTAATTTTTTTTTCTTGTGTAGATTTAGCGAGTTTTTGCATTACAGTGTACCTTTGAATATTATATTTTTTAGTAGATTGTACCCCGATTGCTTTTTGGAAGTGGTTACCATAAAAAATAAAATTTTTCCTGAATTTGTACAATTGTTAAAAATGTGGAAAACCGTGATGTACGAGTTCGAGAGGATGCATTTGGAAAGCACATTTTTGCCTTTTTTGCAGTCGCAGGCGAGTGCTGGAGGTAAGTTTCCAGCCAAAAACAACGAACGGTTGACCGTGGGGCAACAACTTATTAATTAACCTGCGCTATTCTGAGAACTGCAGGCTGCACACACTGCAGTACAATGAACCGATATTTGTATGATTTTTTGCAAGGTGTTTTTGTGTTGTTTACGGTACCCTAAGCTCACTGTTAAAAAAATAACAGTCAAACCAAGGCCGTCTGTTGCGTTTGAGAACCGGATTTATTTTTGTGGCCATAGTGAAATGGTACAGGTTAAAATCGTTTCAAAAATATTTTCGATTTATAACAATAATAATCATGTATGTGATGAAAATGTTCAGTTTTTCTTTTTATATCAAAAACATGAATGGAAAATTAACCGAAAGTGATTTTTTTTTTTTGATATTACAATAGTTTTAATAACTTGCACAATGCTTTAAATGTACTGGTTTGTCTTAAATTATTGCGAGGTCAGAAAACCTTTTTTTAATTTTTTAGTAGAAGAAAAATGTTATTTTGACGTACGAATTTTATATTTCTCACGCTCTTAAGGAGACTCGCTAGACGAGGTATAATATTTTTTTGGTTTTTTGTATGAAAAAATGTTATTATTATAGATGTATCATACATCAAACTGCAGCTTTTTTCATATTCTAGTGCGCAGAGACCAGTTCAATCAATTAAAAAAATATGGCTGAGAAATATCGTAAAAAAAGCACCATTGTATGTTTTCTTTTCAAGTTTTTTGAGTCATGACCATCATAGAATCGCTTGAAAATTTGCACATGGATAAAACATCACTTTTTACAGGGCGCAGAGTCATTAAATGTTTGTTAGTGGTACAATTTGTTTAAATAATAATGTGTTTATTAAAATCAAAAGATACCTGCTCTACCATAAGCTGATTGTTAGCGTTCTCGGCTGATTTTTCTAATTTATGGCAAGGAACTCAGTTTTATAACAAGTCGCCAGGACCGGCCGTAGTAATCTATTGTTAAAGAAATTAACTTTTACGCAATGAGGTACTATTATAAAACCGAATTAAAACTGGGGAACTATAATATTTTTTACTCCACTCAGGATCCTGAATTCAATACACATGATTACTAAAAATTCATTGTAATATTATTGTTAATATATATTTTACATTGTCAATTAATAAAACTAATAAACATATTTATAATAATAATAAAAAATATATAAAATACAGCTTTTGTTTAACACGTATAACTAGCTAAGTGTACCTACTACTTATCCCAGAAAGGAGGAGTTTTAAAAAAGCCCTACGTCCAGTAACTTCTCCCTTCATTGTTTACTCAAAAAAAGTGCTCGTATATGTTTTCATTTGCCGAGAGATCATTTTCAAAATATATCTACAATAAAAATATGCAAGTTTTGGTGATGAAAAATGTACTCCTAATAAATTATTAAAGTACATAAAAAAATAGAAACAAATTTTATTTATTTTAAAAAAATCTTTCGCAAAGGCAGGTTCCTCTTTCTTCTTGAATCAATTACTTTACATATTTCTTCGTTTTTTTCTATATTAATTCCTTTGGGTGTCCAAACAACAAAATAAACTTGGGAAATACCCGTAACAAGTATTTGTCCCTGGACCTGAAAGTAGTAATCATGATTTTTTTTTACTTTCAATTCTCTGTCTGTCAATGTACAAAATTTGATTATTTTTTTTCTAACCGCTTCTTCGGGAGACAAATGTTGCGATTTTGAAGGGCATTTAATTTCGACTAATGCACTCCTAAGAAGCCACACCGTTCAGTTTTTATATTTTTATTTATTTCAAAACACTTGCCAGCTTTTTCCTCACTTTGTTGTCCATAGTATGTATGACTATTACCTCTAAATGTACCGTACGAAAATGTTTTGAGCCTATGGGCGGATTTACGTGTTGACCAAATTCTTACCCTGAATTAGTTTTAATTTTATAAATACCCTATCTAAAATGTTCAGAATATGATGAGTCTATACTTGTGATTTACCATTCCATTAATATTTTTTGGATTTGTTTATACATACAGGGTGACTCAAAAAAAAATAATGACTGAGTCAATTTATTTTATTGAAGAAATCAAGAATTGCAAAACTGAATACTTTGAAATCTTGTCAATTCGTTAGAAAAAAAAAACCTGTCCTGCTCTAATAACATCGAGAATATGCTCAAAATCACACCAATATTAGGTCTAATTGTGCCGACCATAGTTATAAAATTTACATTAAAGTAAGTCACGGACATTTTTTGAAGTGTACTACATTTCAAAAAGCAAAAAAATGTTCAGTTTATAAACTTCTTAATTTTGGTTTAAAGTTTATCAAATATTTGACGCTTTATTTTATCCGTTCCATTTGTTATCCTTTACTGCGGTCTCTCTTGGGTCGAGGTGTAACACCGGACCGAACGTTCTTCGACCGATAGGATAATTTATCACTTCCGACATCTTTTCGGTGACAAATTTAATCTTTGGATACTTCAGCGTAGCTAGTGAACTCGTTGTGACCACTGAAATATACAAAGAGTAAATTTTGAAGTGGAACGAAAGTCGAAGAATACTTTCAAAGCCACGATCAAAATGTATTTGCTTATCTTCGCCAAAAAATGCATGACGTCATCGTAAAATTTGATATGATGAGTCTAAACCTGTGATTTATCATTGCAGTAATATTTTTTAGATTTACTTATACAGCCTGTCTCAAAAAAAGGTCACTTCGATTTTCGATTTTTCGTTTTTTCGACCAACAGTTTCATCGAATTAGATTTTTCAGTTTCCATTTTTCTATCAACTTTTCGATTTTATTACTTTCTAATTTTCTGATTTTTCAAATTTGCGGTATTTTGATTTTTCGAGTTTTCAGTTTTTTCGTTTTTCGATTTTTTAATTTTTCGTTTTTTTGATTTTTCGATGTTTCGATTTTTTAATTTGCCATTCTTTCAATTTTCGATTTTTCGTTTTTCCATTTTTAGATTTTTTGATTTTTCTGTTCGTCAGTTTTTAGACTTTGCAATTTTTTTGCATTTTTCGATTATATTTTACTTTCCGATTTTTTTTATTTTTGAATTCTCGATTTTTCGTTTTTAATTCTTCGATTTCCGATTTTTCAATTTTCCGGTTTTTTAATTCTTCTATTCTCGATTTTTCGATTTTCCATTAATCATAAAATTTTTCGTTTTTTCGGTTGTTTTATTTTTCGACCTTCGATTTTTCAACTTTCGATTATTCGATTTTCCATTTTCTGATTTTACGATTTTTCGATTTGCGATTTTTCTGTTTGTTTCAGTCTTTATGGTTCTGCAATTTGCAGCTTTTAGATTTCAATTTTGTTACTTTCCGATTTTCCACTTTTCGATTTTTTGATTTTTTTGGATCGTCGTTTTTTCGGTTTTCATTTTTTCAATTTTTTTATTTTTCAATTTTTAGGCGTTGCAATTTTTTTACTTTTCGCTTTTTCGAGTATTTGTTTCATCGAATTTTCGAGTTTTCGATTTTCGATTTTTCGGTTTTTCCATTTTCCGATTTTCAAATTTTCGATTTTCCATGTTTAGATATTTTTCGTTTTTTTTTTATTTTTCGATTGTTCTGTTCGTCAGTTTTGAGACTTTGCAATTTTTACTTTTCCACTTTTCTATTATTTTAGTTTCGGATTATTCGATTTTTGAATTTTCGTTTTTTTTTCATTTTTCGATTTCCGATTTTTTAATTTTTCGATTTTTCGGCTTTTTATTTTGTCGATTCTCGATATTCCGATTTTCGATTTTTCGATTTTCCAATCTTCGATTTTTCAATTTCCAGTTTTCGATTTTCCACTTTTTGATTTTACGATTTTTCGTTTTTTCTGTTCGTCAGTTTTTAGGCTTTGCAATTTGTTTACCTTTCGATTTTTCGATTATTTTACTTTCCAGTTTTTTGATTTTTGAATTGTCGACTTTTAGAGTTTTCAATATTATGAATTTTCGAATTTTCGGTTTTCCTATTTTTCGATTTTTGATTTTTCCATTTTTCGGTTTTTTGATTTTTCAATTCTCGGTTTTTCAATCTTGCAAATTTTCGATTTTTCAGATTTGTGAATTTCCAGTTTTTCGATCGACCTACGTATTAGATTCATTGAATTTTCGATTTTCGGTTTTTCCATTTTTAGATTTTTGATTTTCCAGTTTTGCATTTTCAGATTTTCTGTTTTTCGCATATCTGATTTATCAAATTTTCGATTTTTCGGCTTTTCGATTTTTCGATATTTGATTTTCGAATTTTCGATTGTTCAGTTTTCCATTTTTCAGCTTTTAGACTTCAATTTTTTTACTTTTCGATTTTCCAAATTTTCGAGTTTCAATTTTCAGATTTTTGATTTTTCGATTTTCTTTTTAAATCTTTGAATTTTTCGGTTTTGATTTTTGGAATTTTTGATTTTTAATTTTTCCATTCTTCGGTTTTTAGACTTCAATTTTCTTTCTTTTAAATTTTTCGATATTCTATTTTCCGCTTTTCAGAATTTTCGATTTTCAGTTTTCAGACTTTCGATGATTAGAATTTTGGATTTTTCAGTTTTATGATTTTTCGATTTTTAGAAAATTTGAGTAGTCGAATTTTCGATTTTTCAATTCATCGATTTTTCTATGTTCAATTTTTCAATTTAAATTTTGCGATTTTCAATTTGTCTA